TATTACACGGGTGCAATTTATTATTTTTTTGTTTTTATTATTATCAAATTAAATTTCGATATTTATTCTCATTACTCATATAAATGAAGGTTAAGATATATATACATACAGCTCAGTACATGCAATTCAAATCAGGAATACAAAATTGACAATATCAATAATTATCAGATAAAAATAATAAATTTGATAATAATTTGAATCAAAAGGTAGACACATTGACCAATTAATCTGACCCATTCTAACCAGATTTATTCCCAGAAACAGGGAGGGGAATAACCATAATAGTTCGGTCAACAGATTACCTTATTTCGGATATAATTGATAATGATAAAAAATGATCAACATGTTATCCCTACGTGTGGTTCCAAAACTAAACAACCTCAGATTTAAGGACAAAACGGCACAATCTTTCTAAATCGTGTCGACTTTACAGCGTTAGTGTGTATAGTCGTTATTTATTTATTTATTATTTGTAATGGGCCGCGGCAGGACGAACAACTATGACTCTTACAAACTGCCATAAGAAAGACTTTTTTTTTTAATATTCTCTCTTCGCTATTTTCACTTTTATTAATCTTTTATAGCTACTTTGGCAACTATGACGAAACTCTTGCCATAAGAAAGATCATTTTTTTTATTGATATCATTTCTCTTCGTTATCTGTTTTTATTTATCTTTAATAGCTACTATGGCAACTATGACGAAACTCTTACAAACTGCCATAAGAAAGACCTTTTTTATTAATATAATTTCTTCGCTATATTCACTTTTATTCATCTTTTATAGCTACTATGGCAACTATGACGAAACTCTTACAAACTGCCATAAGAAAGACCATTTTTTTTAATTAATATTTCTTCGTTATCTTTATTTTTATTCATCTTTTATATCTATATAAATGACAAGCTTAACCCAACAGAAAAAAAATTATACTAGTGACACCATTATACCAGAAAAAAGAGGCAAAAGACCTCAAGAATATATCACCTGTCAACATCTATACAACATATCACAGAGAAAATATATGATCCACATATGACGCGACTTTACGCTGCAACCAACATACCGAAACACTTGTAGAAAAGGTGTGGGCGAGAATGAATATCCTCATAATACAAGAGATGTATTTTGACCGGTTTCGAGATGTATTTTTATACGTCAGAAATACGGTCAGAAACACCAGTTGTATTGTGGATATTTATACTCATCCACTGAGTATTGTGAGAATGAATATCCTCATAATACAAAAGATGTATTTTGACCGATTTCGAATAGATCTCCGTTAGAAATACGTCAGAAATACGGTCAAATACACCTCTTGTATTGTGAAGATGTACTCATTCATACCTTTTCTACATTTGTCAACACGAATACGGCTCCTAACGAGACACCTGCAGGATGGCTGGCGACACTTTGCTGGGACTCTCCGTGGCTTCCAACCATCGGGGTTCCTTCCTACATGGGGTTCCTTCTGAGGCTTCCTACGCTGGGTTCCTTCCGGGGTTTCCTTCCATGGCTCGCTATCAGTGGACTCCTAACCGTGGCTTCCAAGCGTGGGATTTCTCAAGTGGTTTCCTATTTATAGAATTATTTACAAGGCTTCTTACTCTAGGAATCCTTCCGTGGCTTCCTACCTTGGGATTCTTACCGTAGCTTTACCACAGGATTCCTTCCTTGCCTTCTTACAAGAGGACTTTTACCATGCCTCCCCACAGTAGGATAAGGAAGCCACAGGATTCTTCACCAAACCTCTTCCTATAAGATTCCTTCCATGGCTATCTCAAGTAGGACTCCATCTATGGCTTCCTACCGTAATAATATCCCCATGGCTCTCTCTCATAGGATACCCGCCGTTACTTCCTACCGTAATACTTTCCCCACGGCTCTCTATCATAGGATACCCTTCCGTGGCTTCCTATCGTAGGATCCCGTTCTCGGACTCCTGCTGATTTCACTGTGCGTGTGTGTGAACGGATGCTAATCTGTCTAAACTTACTATACTTACATCTGCCTATCTGCCAATATAGTTTCTGCTGCAGTTTATATAGATCTGTCTCTCTATCATTAAGTTTATAAATAATTTTCTGTCTTTTTGTCTATCTGACTGTCTGTCAACCTATCTATCTATCTATTTGTTTGTCTATGTGTACAACTAACTATATACCTATTTATTTGTCTTGACACTGAATGTATGTTTGTTTGTCTGCGTGTGTGATAAAAAGAGAGAGAGGGAGAGAAAAAGAGAGAAAGAGACAGAGCATGTGTGTGTGTATATACATCTACAAACACACACTCATACACAAGGACAGAGGTATTGACAGAACTACCAGTTACTGTCATGCGCAGATTGACACTGTGGGAATGACATTACTTGTAACTCATAATAACTTTGGTCCTCTTTCATTTGCATCTCAAAGGCGTATTGAAGATTTTTCCTTGTATGTTTATCTGTTAGATACGCTGAAAAGAATATGGCAAATCTACCAGGTTATGTTTTGTTGATATGAACTTCCTGAAAGTTTCAGTTCGAGACGTTCTTTTAGGACTATTGCCTACAATGAGTAAAATAACGATCGAAATAGTGATAACAATAATAATAATAATAGGAATAGAACTGTAATAGTAGTAAATAAATAAATAAAATCCCAAAGCACTTCCTCGCAGCCTGTACCTCAGCCTTCCTTCCAACGCCATTGTAAGCTTTCTCCTTTTTTATCTTTTCCAGAGAGAACCTGTCGCTTGGGTGTATAAATATGCTTGCGTTTGGGCTGCTTATCTTCCCCAAAATGAAAGAGGCTTTACAGTAACTAGGACAATCTAACTGCACTGTAGATAGAAGAGAAAAAAATATGGTGGAAATTTGGTAGAAAATAAAATACGAAAAAAATTAGGGAAAGAAATATTTTCAGGCTACACCATTTTAGTGGATTGCAAGAACAGCTCTTGTTACTGGGTAAGAGTACCTGGTATTTGCGTACTTTTGTCTGTTTGTCTATCAATGTACATTCCACTGGAGTGTGTACGTGCGCGCCTAAGCAGTATGTATGTATATATGTATGAATGTATGTATGTATGTATGTATGTAGCTATGTAAGGATTAATGTATGTATATATGTATGACTGTATGTATGTATGTAGCTATGTGATGATTAATGTATGTACGTATGTATGTATGTAGGTGAGCTATGTAAGGATGTATGTATGTATGTATGTAGTAATGTATTAATGTATGTATGTAGCTATGTAAGGATTAATGTATGTACGTATGTATGTAGGTAGGTGAGCGAATGTGAACAGTAATGCATTCATTTATGTATATTCGTACATAGATAAAAATTAAAACTATGCATGAACAAGCACATCCAGTGAAAGAGTTCCTGGGCAGGAAATTCCGTTGCGACAACAATTTAAGTGGATGCATTAGGATTCCAGTCAAGGGAACGTTTGGAACAGCGACAAAGAGTGAGTGGAACAGCGACGAGAAGAGATGGAACAGCGAGAGTGAGGCGAGACAGATTGGATAATGAAAATATGAGAAAGATTTGAGGGATGGAAACCTGTCACTGTGAGTTTTCGCTCGTTATTGGTCATTTTGCTTATTAATTGTAATTATCTTATTTAATAACAAAATACATTGTCTTTCAGTAAATATTTTAATCTCTCTATTCATATATTCTTATATATTTTATTTTATATATTTATTATCATTATTATCATGAATTGGTGCCGATATCAAAACATATGGCTATGTGATATGTGTGTATGTGTTGTGTGTGTGTGTGTGTGTGTGTGTGTGTGTGTGTGTGTGTGTGTGTGTGTGTGTGTGTGTGTGTGTGTGTGTGTGTGTGTGTGTGAACAGTGACATCAGTGAAAATCAACAAATACTCTTCAGTATTGTTTAAGATATCTCTATAACTTTAAGAAAGACCCTTCTACCTAAAAGACTTCTAAATGACTAGATGCGCTTATAAAACCACGTGTTCTTTTGTACACACGTTTTGTGAATCAATCCTGTCAACCTGTCAGTGACACTTTGGACCAGCCTGTCAATCGATCAGTCAGCTCGTCATATGCCAGCCTTGACACATCACACGGGGGAGTATTGTCGTTAATATCACACTAGAAATATGTATTTATCTTTGCCGTGTATCGTACCGGGTCCAAAAGCAGAGCAGATCACAATGAAATAATTGCACCTATGTTGTTTTTTTTTGTTTTCATGTAACATTGCATTATGGTAATTGGTGTACGCATGGCTCTGTGTGTTTGTGTTGTGTGTGTGTGTGTGTGTGTGTGTGTGTGTGTGTGTGTGTGTGTGTGTGTGTGTGTGTGTGTGTGTGTGTGTGTGTGTGTGTGTGTGTGTGTGTGTGTGTGTGTGTGTGTGTGTGTGTGTTGCATATTCTAATGGTATTAGATATGTAACTCTAGTGACCTTGAACACCTGCTACACAATACGAGTATAAAAAAAAAAGTCTACAAATGTACAGCATTCTGATAACCCGCACATCGTGAGAATTATAATGTCTGGTTTGAAAATGAGAATGAATTCGTGTTCAAAACTGTATAAGACTTTTAAATTGTAAAAATATTTATTTAAGCAAGTTTTTACTTTTTTTTGCCATCTCACTGCCTAATTACACAATAGTTAGCGAACAAATCTGGGACTATAATACAATTTTTAAGTGAATTTTTTTTCTTCTGTTTTTCAACAATCTCTTTATACCGCCATAGTCGATAAAATCATTCACTGTATCTTGTTTTAATTGGCTATTTCCACGTGTTATTTTCATATCTTCGACGGCTGGCTGTGCTTTGCTTTGGGGAAAGGCTAAATCAGTAGCAACACGAGCTGTCATGGCGTTTTTGATGATTGTTCAGTGAAATATATAATTAAAATCATTATTTTCCATCCTTTTGGAAAATTGAAGAGACCAAAATGATCAACCATATTCACAAAGCATCCGTAACTTTTGTGACGTCATCAAAATAAACTCCATGTGTTTTTTTTCCAAAACTAGAATCAGACGCCATGACACCTCCTCGAGTCGCTCCTGATCTGGCCTCTCCCCTTTGGCTTTCCCGCACAGAACAGAGAACAACAGACGCTCACAAGATGGATCACAGTCAAACGGAGGCCTTGGGTGATTTCGAAACTAAGACCCACATTCGGGAATTCGCGACTGTCTTGTACCAAAAAAAAAAAAAAAAAAAGTCTTTATTAAAACGCCAACGGACCTTCGTCAAGGATGGTCCTCTTACAAATAAAATAAAAAGAAATCTACACAGATGCCTTCAATATGTACATGTATATTTCAGTAGCACAAATATTTTTTTTCTTTCTTTTTTAGAAACGTCCACAGGTAATCAAACACACTTGAGGGGACTGGGAGGGCGTTGCAGGGTCCACCTTATACTTCGAAGAGTTCAGTACACAATGGTTCAACGAGAGTCAGTCGGCCCGACCCTCTGGCATCTCACCACCAAAGTCAAAAACACCTGTAGACCTTAGAGGCTGATTGGACTGCTGGAGAGCCACTCGAACGCCATCACTTCGTGTGTCTTTGCCTCCGTGAACGAGTCCGCAAATCAACTTTGTTCTCGTTGTCACTGCTCTTGCAGCATTGCAGGCACATCGACAATCCACCAAATGCCCTTGTGCAGGACGATTTCTGCGTGAGTCCTATGTGCAGTTCGAAACATTACAAATAGGATTTTTTCCGTACAGCTGAAGATCAGAAACTAGAAAAAAGGCAAAGAATAGGCCTACATAGAAGAGCTGTTCACAAGCGTTCACATACGAAATAAAGTCACACACAGCTCTGTACAAGATACCAACTCTCAAGAGACATACTACGCTTGCTTGCTCGCTCGAGTGCAACACAACAGATAATTTAGAAGTGCCTCCCTCAGCAAAAACACGCATTTCGCACACACATTTACAACGGGATGGGGGAAGGTACGTAGGCCTATGCATAAAACACCACCCGAGGCTTCCAAAAACGAGAGGAAAACAAAGAGGGAACTACACATAGGTAGCTTGATCGTCTCGGCTCCACCAGCTCGCGGGGCAGCACTCCCAGCACCAGGACTTCCGACAGCTGGCAGAGGCGGCCAACTAGTCGGAGGTCGAGGATCATCTGGGCTTCTTCTTGCTGGTCTTCGAGAGGCGCCTCTGCTTGTGGATCATCTCGTACAGGTTCTCCAGCGCTTCGTCCAGACCCTCGCCGGTGATCGCGCACGCAGGCTGAGGAAGGGAGGGAGGGAGAGGGGGAGCGTTAGATTGAATGAGGACACGGGGGCGGTTCTCTCCTCTCTCGCTATCTCTATATCTATGTATCTTTCTAACTCTCTCTCTCTACCTCTCTATCTCTCTACATCTCTCTCTTTCTCTCTACCTCTACCTCTCTCTTTATTACTCTCTCTTACTCTTACTCGCTCTCTCTCTCTCGCTTTCTCTTTCTCTCTCTCTCTCTCTCTAGCGCGCGCGCGCACACACACACACACACACACACACACACACACACACACACACACACACACACACACACACACACACACACACACACACACACACACACACACTTCACTACTCAATCTTATCAACACAAACGCGCTTACCTGTATATGCCACAGATGGGTATTGCCCAGCTCTGCGATGCCCAGAAGCCGCTCGATCTCCTGTGGATCTTTGGCTCCCGGCAGATCCTGCTTATTGGCCAGCACCAGGATGGGGACCTGAAGGGGGGGTTATTATTATTATATTTTATTATTAATACTATTATTTCTGCTGCTGCTAATATTACTGTTATTATTACTATTGTAAGGTATTCCAGAAGGACAGTATGGTTAGGTGTACTAGCTTTTTTTTGTGTGTGTAATTGTGTGTGATTGTGTGTGTGTGTGTGTGTGTGTGTGTGTGTGTGTGTGTGTGTGTGTGTGTGTGTGTGTGTGTGTGTGTGTGTGTGTGTGTGTGTGTGTGTGAAAATCTTAGATAACCTACCATGGTGATTTTGCGTCGGAAAATAATTTATTCAAAAAATAGCCTAAACAAACCTCATATTTGTTTCGTTGCTATGCACCCAATTTGTAAACAGGAAAATGCAATATATCATATCAGTTACACCAACCCCTACAGACTCTAAAATTTATTGTAATGTATTGTTACATCCTTGAAATTTTGAGTTACCGGGTATACATTAATAGGGTTTGTATTCCAACAGCTAAATATCGTGCCGGGAAGTCACACGACACAACGGTATTAGAGAACGAAAAAAATGCGCATAAAATATTTTCTTAATCTTTTTTTTCGTCATTCGCACGTTTAGGAATATTAAAAAAGAAAGAAAGAAAAAAAAAGAAACAGTGTTACCGCGTTTTGTTGATTGATTTATTTGATTATCCTAATATCAAAACACAATTTGGTAACAAAACAAAAAATGATTATACATTTTCTCTTCGTATTTTAAAATAGCCTAAATGAATGTGTAATAATAATAATAATAATAATAATAATAATAATAATAATAATAATAATAATAATAATAATAATAATAATAATAATAATAATAATAACAATAATAAATTGCAGCAAAAAAAAAGGGGGGGGGGTATATTTTCAACTGACAATTTAAGCGTTTATTGAATACAAAACTCTAACACCAAAATGTATATGATATTATTATACTAGAGAACGGTAGAAGAATAAACATGATATTCTAAAGGAATACGCGTCGTTAATGCTAACAAGCCGAAGGGTATTTGCTCAAACGATCTTATTATGGACACTATCTACTCGTTTCCCTTTTGTTTTCGAACTTTCTTGGCGTATGTGTCTGTTTGTTACATCAAGTCGTGAATTATAACAAGATCCATTGAAAATCTGGTTCTAACTTACTCAAGGCTAAGCAAGATTCTTCAAACACATTCTTCCAAGAATTAATAATTCGAAAAAAAACACATGCTAAACACGGTATTAATGTACTTTTGACTGTATATTTCTGTCTGCAAACAACCTGTGTGCGCGGAGATCTAGCAATGAAGTAATAATTTGAAAAAAATACCGTATTAATATACTTTTGACTATATATTTTTAAAAGATCCGTATTAATATACTTTTGACTATATATTCGTGTCTACAAACAATCTATGTACACGGAGATCTAGCACTGAGATGGGTACACACACGAGCCAACAGTCAGACACAGGTTGGAATATATTTCTACGCGTCGCCCATAGATGGCGTTCTGTTCGTCGCATCCAAAGTAAAGAGACGAGGAGCGAGAGGGAAAAGGGAGGAGGAAAGAGGAATAGGAGGAGAAGGGAGGAGGAAAGAGGAAAAGGGAGGAGAAAAGATGAATATGAAGAGAGGAGGAAAGAAGAATAGAAAAGGAGGAGGAAAGAGGAATAGAAAGAGAGGAGGAAAGAGGAATAGAAAGTGAGGAGGAAAGAGGAATAGAAAGTGAGGAGGAAAGAGGAATAGAAAGAGAAAAAGGAAGAGAGGAGGAAAGAGGAATAGGAAGAGAGGAGGAAAGATGAATAGGAAGAGAGGAGGGAAGAGGAATAGAAAGAGAAGAGAAATGAGGAAAAGAGAGGGAGGCATCAACAGACTTGTAGAAACATATGCTAGGCTGCAAGCGCAGTCGAACATCTGCTCGTGGATGCACGTGTCCATCTAGGAGCTCTTTGTGACAAATATAGAAAAATTAATAAAAATAAATGCCTGATGTCGTACTGAACTATATTCCTTCAAATGAGGTTTACACTGGAACGTGAGAGCGGCATGACAGGCATTCCTTACTTTGGTTCATAATAACGTAATGTTAATGTATATTTCAAGTGTCATAACAAAAAGATAAACATTTTTATTATTATCATTATTCGAATGGCAACAACAGTGTCTGGGATTTAAAAGTATTTAGGTTGGTAATTCTTCCTATCATTCCTATCGTTATGTTTGAAAATGTTAACGACTTTTTATGTTCGCTACTATATATAATTTTTTCTTCACTTTTGTTATCGTTTTTCTTATATCTTAAGTTCGATTTTCATTGAGATTATGAATACCATTCAGATAAAACTATTGTGTTACTGCTTCATTAAGATTTCCATCAGTGGCAACTCGAGGTGGGTGTCATGGCGTTTGTTTTGATGATTGTTCAATGGAAATTTAACCATTAAAATCATTATTTTCCATTCCTTTTGAAAATTATAGACCAAAACGATCGGCCATATTCACAAACCATCCGAAAATTTTGTGACGTCATCAAAATAACCCTTTTTTTTTTTTTTTTTTTTTTTTTTTTTTTTTTTGAAAATTAGAATCAGACGCCATGACACCTCCTCGAGTCGCTACTGATCCAGCCTTCCCCATCGTCTTTATTCCAAATACACAGTATTAGAAAGGGTAACGATGTTAGCATTTGTTCCAATAGGGCTAGTTGAATTAATAGTCCTAGTAGCAGGAGAGCGAGCTATTTTACTATTAACGATATTTACAGACAAGCTTGTTTATTCTATAATGAGGTGAGTCATTATGCTAAACTAAATATAGAAACACGCCGCAGTTAAATAGAGTTTCAACAGAAAAGTATCAGTCGGCCATTAGGCGAAATAAATGAAAATATCATTAGATCCCAAAGCTTTTGCAATTGCAATGCAGAACACCTTTTCGACAATTTTGAAAAGAGGCTAAAACATAATATAGTCGCATGCAATGGCCCACTGTTATTGTCATATTAATTATCATTATTACCATGATTATCAGAACTATTGCCGTATGATAATGATTAGTATTACTATATTATTATTATTCTCAGTATTCTCAACATCACCATCTCATCACCATCACATTATCATCATTTCAACCTCATCACCATCCCCAACCTCATCACCATCACCACCTCGTCATCACCATCCATCACATCCTCGACTCATCACATCACCATCCCCAACCTCATCATCACCATCCCCAACCTCGTTATCACCATCACCACCCCAACCTCGTTATCACCATCACCACCTCATCACTATCACCATCCCCAACCTCATCACCAACACCATCCCCAACTTCATCACCATCACTATCACCATCCCCAACCTCATCACCATCACCAACCTCATCACCATCACCAACCTCGTTATCACCATCACCAATCCCTCGTTATCACCATCACCATCGATCACCATCACCACCTCATCACCAACACCATCCCCAACTTCATCACCATCATTATCACCATCCCAACTTCATCACATCACTATCACCATCCCCAACCTCATCACCATCACCAGCCTCGTTATCACCATCACCAACCCCGACGTCATCTCCATCAACAACCTAGTCATCACCACATCATCACCATCCCAACCTCATCATCACCAACCCCGACGTCATCTCCATAACATCACCACTTCGTCATCACCACGATCATCACCATCACCAACCTTGTCATTACCACCATCACCAACCCCGACGCCATCTCCATATCACTACCAACAACCTCATCACCACCACCACCATCACCTAACCACAACCTCCAACCACCACCATCTTTAATCCCTAAAGAAAAACAACTTCCGGCAACCGACCGTAAACGAACCGTAAAAAAAATGCGTTTTTATTTCTTTTCATTTAACGGAAAGTACTTTTTTTGCCCCGAAAACGTCCATTCAAAAAGGGGCTTCTTATCTTCTAAACAAAAAAAACGCGCGGAATTCAGCCTTAACGATCGCCAAATACGAATAGGGGGGAGGGGGGAGGGGCGGCGAGCACAAGCACTTGCATTCAAGCGTCAGTGCTTGCGTTCGACATGGGGGGGGGGGGGGAGAGGGGAGGGGAGGGAATAGGGAGGGGGAAGCACGCTTCTTTCTTTTGTTTTTTATGATTTCGCTCTTTCTCTGTTTTTCTCTTTTTCTCGTCTCTTTCTGTCTCATCTGTCTCTCTCTTCTTTCTCTGTCTCATCTCTCTCTCTCTCTCTCTCTCTCTCTCTCTCTCTCTCTCTCTCTCTCTCTCTCTCTCTCTCTCTCTCTCTCTCTCTCTCTCTCTCTCTCTCTCTCTCTCTCTCTCTCTCTCTCTTCTCTCTCTCTCTCTCTCTCTCTCCTCTCTCTCTCTCCTCTCTCTCTCTCTCTCTCTCTCTCTCTCTCTCTCTCTCTCTCTCTCTCTCTCTCTCTCTCTCTCTCTCTCTCTCTCTCTCTCTCTCTCTCTCTCTCTCTCCTCTTCCTCCTCTCCCTGCCTCTCACTCTCCTTCTAACTCTTGGTCTTTCTCCATCTTCCCTCCATGCGTTTCTCCCCCTTTTCTTCTCTCCCTCCTTTCTCCCGTTCTTCCTTTCTCCCGTCCCCCCTCACTATCTCATTCTTAGTCTCTCCGTCTCCCTATCTCCCTTTCTCCCTCCGTCTTCCTTTCTCCCTCTATCCCTTCCTCCACCTCCCTTACTTTTATTCTCCTTCTCTCCATCTTTTGTACCTCCCTCCACCTCCCTTTTTCCTTCTCTTTCCCTCTTAGTCTTTTTTCCATTTCCCCATCTCTCCTTCCCTTTCCTCCCACCCTCTTTCCCTTCCTACATCTCTCTCTTGGTCTTTCTATATCTCCCTCTCTTTCCATCTTCCCCTCCCTCCATCTCCCTTCTCCCCTCCTGGTCTTTCTCCTCTCCCTCCGTCCATCTCCCTTTCTCCATCCCTCCATCTACATCTTCTTTGTCTTCCTCCGTCTCCCTCTTGGCCTTTCTCCATCTCACTC